GTTGCCTGCCGCCGGCTCAGACTGGTTTCTGGAAAGTGCTTTGTCTCGCAGGCTGCATCCTGGGAAGGGTCATGTGGAGCCCAGTGATGTCATGGGATCAAAGCCTGACTCAGCTCCGCGTCCGATGGATGGGTGTCCGCAGGTACCGAAGTGCGGGCTGAGATGTCAGAGCCCACCGGCGGCCAAACTTCCCGCGCCTCCGGCAGGCGAGGGGTTAAGCCGGGTTCCCCCGAGCCCAGCGCTTCCTCTGCCGCCTGGAAGAGCCTGGCTCCTTCACCAGGAGGGAGAAAGTCTCAACTCGAGTATTACAATGGCAGTGCCTTAGCGCCTGGCGGCAGGCTGTCAAGAAATATGGAAGCCTCTCTTCACGCAGGGTGTGGTGGTCCTTTTCCCCGTAGTGTCTGATTCCCGAAACTTGCGAGCAGGCTTAGGTCCTCAGAAAGCCATGGCAGAGGTCCCAGGGAGATCCTAATCTAGAATTTTGTAATTGCGTTTATTTGCATGCGAGGCAAATGCATACATTCTTCCTGCCTTTTGGGAAAGAGCCAAACTTTCTTCGTCGGGGGGGGGTTTGTATGTTCTCCTGGGCTCCAACGCAGGGTTTTTTTTTTCTCCGTGGTGACTCTAGTTGATGCTTAGTGAGGTTTGTGTGTGTGTGTGTTCTTGTTTTGCCTTTTTGTTTGTTTGTTTTTGCTTGACATAAAAAGTGTGAGTACAGAGGTGCCGGGTGCTTAATAGCTTCAGACTGAGATGTATTTTGAAGATAGGGTAAGTGAGTGTAATGGCAAAACTTTTATTGCTCTTTCTGAACTCCTTTTGCAGTAACCGCTGTACTTTGCCCTGTTTTGAAATTAAGGTGTTTTGTCCAACTTACTTTTTTTCCAGCCTACTTAACTCGTTTGTGTCTCCTCTCTCCTCAGAGCCTCACAATGACAGAGGAAGCATGCAGGACACGAAGTCAGAAACGAGCATTAGAACGTGAGATAACGCATAACGATGTGGACAGTAAAAAAATAAAAATGGAGAAAGGACTATTGGGAACAGATATAAATGCTGAAAGCGACATGAAAATCAAAGCGGATCCTGGAGCTGGAAAAGTGCAAGGATTATTAAAAAGTGGCGAGGTGAAAGCGACCATTAAAGTGGAGGTTCAGACGGGAGACGAGCCTGTGGACATGAGTACCTCAAAAAGGTGAGTGAAGACCGACGTGCTGCGGTTGCAGTGTAACGTTTGGGGTAGGACAGAGTCAGCTGGCGCTAGGAGGAGGTTCTCTGCGTTGTAAAGGTAGAGAGAATTAAAATTTTACGTGTGTGTTGCAGCTCTGGCTCTTCACGTGAGGTTCAACAGCTACTCCTGTATAACTTCCGTGCTGATTTGTGTTCCACAAGCCTTGACGGCAGTGACAGCTGCGATGAGCAGCTGAGTAAAGGAGTGCGGTCTTGAATAGAAAAACGTACAAGTCACAAAGAGGATGCGCTGGGAGCTACTGATGGAGGTTTATGTGAGGAAGAGTGGTTTGGGTTTTTTTAGTTGAGCTGTGATACAGGAAAAATAATAGATTATAATTGTCTAAACAGGGGAGTTTTGATTGCAACTGGAGTCTTCCTGACAGAGCAGTATGTATGGATAAGCCTGACTTTCTTTTTGAAGTAACTTGCCGATTTTGACGCTGGAAGTGTTACGAAAAGACAGCACCTGTCTGCAGCAGTTCTCTGTAGGACAAGTTCTTAATACTATTTGGAAGTCCAGCCACCTTAAGATGTCTCAATTTTCACATCTGAAAGTATGAATGCGAAGATTCTTACCACTTTGGAGGATTTTATTGTTACAAAGATGTAAAGCTGTTCCTTTGACCTGTGTGCGATACACACGCGTGAATTGGGTGGTTCTGACTTAAAGTTTACGGGCGTTGCTTTGAAGCCAGATTCCAAACCTCCTACCGTATTTCTAACCTAGATTCTGTCTGTACCAGCGTAAAAATTCTGTCAAAAATTCTGTGGCCTGATGTTGGCCCTTCGAGGTCTTGCTTTTTGTCTTTGGAGTGGAGTAAGGACCGATATATTGAGCGGGAAGTCTAGAATCCAGCCTCATTTACTCCTGGTTCTGACAGCAGCTGATGCTGGAGCGGTAGTATGGAATAACTGAGACCTCCTGTCTGAACAGAATGACTTAAACAGTTCTTGGAGTAATAAATCTGTGTTCGCTTGGGTGTCGGGTATTACAGCAGTGCAGATTTGAGGGTGTGAAACTGAAAACACGAGATCCTTATCAACCGTGCAGGAGTTGTTGGGAGAAAGGGCGCTTATGGGTGCTACTGAGAAAACTGGTGTCTTTGATGTTTAATGGCAATTCGTCTGTAACCTTCTCCCAACTTTTGGTGCTTTTCTAAGAGAAATAACTTAGACTGCAAGAGCCTGACGACTTTATCCAAATACTGCTTCAGTCTGTGTAAAACCAGACCTCTTCCGTCAGCGTGACTGAGGGAAGGCGGCAGTTTTCAGCTTTTCTCCGTAAACTCTCTGCCAAAGGGACAATTATACAAGTTGCTCAGTTTGATATTTAGGAGGTGCTTATGTCTTGCCCAGTTAATTGGGGTAAGGGACGACTTCCATGTCAGGCAGTTGTGTTGTGCTGACAGGAGTGAATCTCTGAAGGTGTCTTTTGGCGTAATCGCTACCTCCTAATTAACGCAGGTATGCGTGCTCTTTTTTTGAGGAGTATCTAAAAAGATTGCTCATACCAAAAATTGAATAAATTAAAATCAGGTATTCTCACTCTTTGTTGCAGGACTTGCCCCCACATGCTTGTGCTCTTTGTGAATTTACAGTATTTTTGAAATGCGTGCCAGTGTTTCTGCTCTGTTGGTGTCCGTCTCTGTGGCAAGATGTGCAGACAGGATGATGAACAAGGGGTTGTGCACTTCCCAGCGAGCATCTGGAACAGGAACACCTATTTACGTGAGATGAGAGAACCTCCTCTCTCCATACAGCGTTCTTGTTTCAGGTGGTCAAAGGATATTGTTGTATTCGGTTTCGGCAAGGAGGGAGAAGAGGCTTCCCCACACGAAAAATGGGTCTGTGTAAGGAGGCAGGCTGGTCCCAATTCCACCAAAGTTAATAAATATAGTTAAGAATTTCATGAGGCTTTGGATAAGCTCTTTGGATGCTGTTTGTAAGTTGGAACACCTTTCATAATGTGTTATTTCCATAAAATTCTTGATAGAGAGGAATTAAACCTCAAGTCATCACAAATGACAAAGAATGAGCCGAAATGTTTCTGCAAACTTCTGGAAGTAAGGCCGCAGCTTCCCAGGCTTTGGGGCTCTGCTCCTGTGTGGTGGCAGTGCCCTCGGTCCCTGCGAGGCATAAACGTGGCGTGGAGCAGCCAACTGGCCTCGGGATGCAAATCCCTCCAGGCGAATGCAATCCGAGTCTGGAGATGCTGGTGGCAGGGGAAGCTTGTTTCTGGATGAGGCTGATTCCCTTGCGTATGTGAGAATACAACTGGCGTTTGTAGGGAAGGTGAATCTTCATTTCATAAGGGTGTTTGTTTTTTTTTTCTTAACTGTGGGACTTACCTTTCCAGACCTTTGATCTTCAGAGGAATTGAGCGTGCAGCTTTTGTAAGGCCTGTGTCTTTAAAGCAGTTGAGCTGATTTTCTGAGGAGATGAAAAAAGAGCTGTTGCTTAAAATGACTAAACTGCTACAAACTTCTTCAGTAAAATTCATGCTTAATGATGTATGGTGTTTTGGCTTTTAAACTTCCTTGATGCTTTTAGAACTGAAAACATAATATTTTCCTTGGAAAAGGGGGCCCAGCAACAATCACAGTTTAACTGACGTGAAGCTGATTGAATGGGTTATCTTTTTAAAATCAGTTGATTCTCAAGATTTGAAATACAAACCTGGCAATATCTCTGCCTTAAACTTAAAAATATGTTTCTTTTTTTTTTTTTTTTTTTTCTCTAAACCTTGAAGTTAAATTTAAAAATAGTATCTGTTTTGAGCGCATTTACGGATGCCAGAAGAAACAGAAGAAAGTCTGTAGTGGTAGAAGTCTTTGATGAGAGGTCGCCCAAGGCCAAACCAGAATCTTGCTCCTCTGCCTGGCGTTTTTGCAGCGCTGGAGCCAGCTACGCTGGTGTGTAATTATACCAGACCTACTGCGGGGAAGGAATGGGAGGAAGGAGAGTCCTCCCGCCTCGATAAGGACACGTCTCGTTAGCAATGGGACGGTCAAATAGTGTAACGTAAGTGGCTTCGCTTGTGAATACGCTGATTCACGTCAACGAGGGCGCTGGAGGGGAAGAACGTTTGTCAAACCTGGTTGAATCCCGACGTCTTACCGTGCTTTCAAGCTCTGCTTTCCCTTTCGTCTGCTCTTCGTCTCTCCTCTGTTCTTTCCTTCCCCTTAAATACCTGAGTTTCCTACCACCTTTGCCCTGTGTTGAGCATCGTTTGTTTCCAGCTGGGGCTTTCTCCCGGAGCCCTTGTTGGATCGTACTGCCTGCTGCATCACCTTGCCTTTATTGGACTCCAGCTGCAGCTCCCTTCATCTATGGTCTACATTCTGACCGTTTTCCAGGTGTTTTGTTGAGGTTTTTTTTTTTTCCTGGCACCCTTTCCTGAACCACACAAAATGCACCGGCTGCACACGCAGTACTGGTGAAGCTCCTGGTTCCCGGTGCCCTCGCGGTAAGGGTGGGCAGAGACCACGAGTGCTCTTTCTGGACGCGGTCACCTAACTGCTCTCTGCACGGGAGCTGCTGTGCTCAGGCAGGGCTGAGCTCTGCAGGTCATCTGTTGCCTCCCGACGTGTGGCACACGCGAGTGTCAGATGTACCCTCAGCTTTGAGGTCTTGCTGCTTGAAGGCACGCGTGAGCTGGCCTGGCTTAGGCCGCCGCCTGTTCGCTCAGATGAAAACTGCCCGGAAGGATGAGAGTGGAGAGTTTGCAGGCAGCCCTATAGTTAGTGCTCTCGGACAAAGAAACTTTCTGAACTCCTTAGTTCCTTTAATTTTAGGTCTTGCTGGTTACGATTTGTGTGCTTGACAAATGTTGCGCTGCTCTGGAACCTCAGAACAGTCGTGTTCTGCTTCTGTTACAGGGGATAATTAAAAATAACAGCTAATAGGAGTTGTTTTGAAATTGTATGAAAGTTGGCCTAATGGCTGGGCTCTGAATTTCTGTGTTAGGGTTTGGATGCTGAGTTTTGGTGCTTTGAAGGGTTCTGGGTTGGTTTGGGGTTTTTTGGTTTATTGTTTTTTTTTTTATCTGGCCAAATCACATTTAAAATTTACTTAAATGAATGGATTTGATGCTGAAATTCTAACATGTTCTTAAGCATATCAGGATGCAGCCTGAGTTGGCTGACCAAACTCTCCACTTTACTGGAATTTACTGGGAACAGCGCTCATGGCAGTGCTGGTAAAGAGCAATAGGCTCTTCTCTTCCCGATAGGGAGCCTGGAAACGTGGCACAGCCCCATACTGTGGGTCTGCTTTTCAGCTTACGTACGTTATGTCTGTGCCTCCTGGTATCTGTTGTAATAGAGGAGATGGTGACAAAATTGGTGCCAGAGTTTCTTGGGGAATTTTAATGTTTCATTTTAAATGCAGACATAGTTCAATTAAAGTTTCCTTCCTTTATGTTCAGGGGATGGGATGAAGTTTGTTTTGCTTCAGTTTCGCACCACAGTCACTAGATCCATTGCAACTTCTTTGATTCATGTAGATAAAACATCTCCAGGAAAAAAAAAAAAATTCCCCACTGTATTGCTTTTTCTTTCCTTGTTTGTCTTCCTTTCTTGCCAAATATTTTTGGATGAGAGTATACAAGAGATTGTTGAATGGACTGAGGCAAAACTGTTGCATATTTGCTAATGCAGATTAAGCTTGAGTTTGAAGAACAGTCGTGATGTTTCCTTCGGTTACCTGTAGGTGGGCAGGACGCGCTGGGGGACGGCAGGATGGGGCTGTACAGGGCTCTTGCTCTGCAGCGGGGGATTTCATCTTTCGGGTCAGTAGTTCTGTAACTTTAACCAAGTGAGCATCGCATTGATTTTTTGGAAGAGTGATCGAAAGGGCATTTTAGAGCACGGGTAAGATCTGGTCTGTAAAATGAAGCTTATATTTTGTGTAATGCCTCTGGACCAGTATGAGCGAAGGCAAAGACTGCTTGATGGGGCGCAGGAGCAATTCTGCTAGTGTCGTGAAGCTCTCTGTAAGCTGCAGCACCAGACCTCTGAAATTAAACCCTCTACCAGAGCCAGTAGTTCCTGGGAGTCCCTTTCTCTTACTGATGTCACGTTTAAACTTTGTCTTCCCCGGTCGTGCTTCATTGAAACTTCTGTCTCGCAGGAAGGTGAATCTGCTAGAAGAGTTGAGTCCACCTCGAGATACCTTAGACCTTGGATGTATCATCTTCAAGACAAAAACTGAATTGATCTTCCTCTGGCCCAGCTAAGTGGAAGCAGACTTCCAAGGCTGGGTTCGGCCACCTGACCCTCTTCTTCCCTTCAAATCAGCACATACCCGGTGTCCCCATGGGAAAGGGGCTGTTTGGTTTGGTTTGGTTTTTTCTGGAATAGCTGTTGTGCTCTGAATTGCTACAGGATGCTCCAAGATGCCGAGGAAAACCCTTGAATAGCATGAGGCGTCCGTCCTGGTGCTCTGAGGTTTTAAAAGAGAACATTGGAGGAAGCGTGGCCTTTTTGTTAGGGCGCTTAGTGTCTTAGGAGGTCTGCGTTTGATTCCTTGCACAAACTTTCTGCAAAGTCTCTGTTAAATTGTGTTTTATTGCTCTGAATGCTTAAATGGGTGTACGTAACTGGGCAGCAGCCCGGCTTTCATCTTGTAGTGTAGAGTCCAAATGATTGAGACAGCCACGCTTATGAAAGCTGAAGGGAGAATAATAGAACTATGTCTTTATTTAGCTAAAGGATATGCCTGATGGCTTCAGAGGATAAAGGTCATAGTATCAGGGCAGTTATCCCAAATTATTAACTGCTGGTGGCAGTATTTTTCTGAAAGTGGTGATATTTCCATTGTCTTTCTTATTTTGAAACATCTGCTTTGAATTTTTTGCTTTACACACAGGCTAACAAAAGAGTAAAGCAAACTCCTTTTTGAAGGAAGATTGTTTTGCAGAGTTCTGGTCTACATTTCTGGAGTTCAGTCTTGTGCCACCTCGTTCACTATGCAGTTGGTCGTGCTGCTGAGGATATAAATCCTGTACTACTTGAATATGAGTCAGCTTGGTTGCTGTGGTCAGTACGTGTTGCTTTAAAAAATATATAGTATCTCCCTGCTTCAAGAAGAGTTTTTTCCTCAGTAAGGTCACATGTCAGCAGGCTCAAAGTTGTCGGTAGATGGTCCTAAATAGATACGACTAATGCTTTTGTGGAAATACATGATTTTAAAACGCAATGTAGTGGTTTCTAATGCAGCTTTTATTAGATCAGCATCTTATAATGCAGCTGTCAGGAATATCGTAATGTATCTTACAAAACAGAGAAATCATGTGGGTTCGGGGAAGCCCTTAGACGAAGCACCGTCAGGCTGGTGACGGGTGGTCCTGGCTTGTCATCTCCTGCTTCACAGCCCGAGTGCACGATGGGGTTTGTTGCAGAGCTGTTCGGGGCAAGGTTTTATTTCCTAGTTCCAGATTTCATGTCATGGTCCTACAAAAAGTCTTGGGCAGCTTGATATTTTTTTTTGTGCCGAGCGATGGTGTCTTCCATAGACCCTTTGTTTGGATGTTGCCGTCTTCCAAGTGCAAGGAGCAAACCAGGGGTGGGTTGCGCATCCCTCCGTGCTGCCCGGCTCCCCGGGCGAGCGATCCCCGGCTCGGCTGGCGAGGTGCGCTCCCCTCCTCCTAAATTCTGTTGTGGGTTTTTTTTTTTTCCCAAAGATGGAGTATCCAGGCTGCTGATGAATGCAAACTTCTGTCGATCACACGTTGCTGCAGATGTCTTGCCAGTCTGTTATCAGCACATGTCGTTGAATTAGCTCAGGATTAAGATTTTCTTCGTTGTGATATCCCAGGAAAGCCCGAGGGCCGGCAGGCATCTTCTTCCAGCCTGGCCTTCCTCGTCCAGCCTGGAAGGAAAACCAGGAGGACTCCACGGCGCAGCCCAGGGACTCTCTTGGGGTTTGATTTTTTTTTATTTTTTTTTTTAATTTTTAAATTTTTTTTGGTCATTTCTCACTTATTTTCTTGACAAATGCCAGGTGCCCCATGGCGGGGGTG